TATAATTTGTTGTCAAATTTTTCAAATGTCTAGAAGTAGTGTTGAGTCATTGCTATTACATGTGTTGGGGGTTGAATAGATGGTTAGAGCTTCTGTCCTCAACCTCTCTCTCCACCTATTTATGCTAGTCTTTAGGACCACTATTCCATCCTGCCTTATCATATGTTTGTGTGTTATCGAATTTATAACTGTCACTGAATTCTTACATCGACTACTCGTCTCAGTACAATCTGTTAGTCCAAATTCTTCTACATTCCTATTTTCTGGTAACCTGACTGACCCTGATCGGCTAGTGTACTTAACCTCACAATCATTTCCAGGTATTTGACAGATTCATTTACCGTTCTGTCTAACTGGGTCAACAAAATCCTTGAGCCAACCAAGTCTCTATTATGCGTACATTTAACTAAACTTATTGATCTGTCTTTGTGGTATATATATGAGTTGAACAATAACCTTAGCCTTCACCCTCAGGGATCACTCAGTTCATTGAGAACATAAAGAAGTAGCAAAATGATAAAGGCTTAATGTCAAGTCGAACATTTACAAAACGTAACGGTTTATGTACATTTCCTGATAGCCTTCATAGGTTCTACACTTTTCTAGAAAGTCCTTTAGTTAATCTGAGACTTATATATGTGATCCCATGGTTTTTTAGGAAAGTTCGAAATTCCAGGCTTCTCTGAAGAATCTAGGGAATATTGTAGCACTCCATAACACTTCACAAGCTGAGAATGCAATGGTTTTCTGAAGACACTTGTATCTGAACTGTCATCTTGTTTGCATTTAATTTTACTGTCTAAAGTAGCTAATTCCCTTTCTTCATCTTCTTACTCAGAAGTAAGTTGAATCCCTTTTTGTCCTATCTCCTAGCAATTACATCAAGCAATGTAAAGCAGTAAAACTGTAAGTAGCTGTGACAGGAAGTTAGTGAATAAGAACAATAAATTGTGCTCAGAACGTCATCTAGTAAATAATACTACATCGCTGTGTCATTTCAAACAGAGTAATCTAATATGGCATTATACCCTAACCACAGAGCCCAAATACTATACTTACAACAATAAGTCATCCCTTACCACCGATAATCGAACATTGAATCGTAAACCTATGAAAGAAAGCTCAAACTTTCTAGCCTCAGTGTACGATTGATCAGATGTGGATTTAACTCAATATGAAATCATTAGGGCATGCTTCTCAACATTAACAGAAAAAAGAATAATCAACAAAACAAACTCCTTTTTACTGAAGATTAAGCAGCAACGTGGTATCTGTTTCCTCATGTTCAGCAAATTCCATCGATGAATTCTACAATGCAGTCACTTAGCCAAGGGTAGAATCATATGGCGTACACTGTATATAATTAATCTACAATAAACACCCTAACTAAACTGCATAAGTGAAACTTCACTAAACAACAGGTGGTTGCAATATGCCTGCTTCAAAAATTTTATATTCACAGTGTACACAGATATTTTTAAGCTTCTCTTAAAGAATATACTATGATGATTATATTCACAACCCGGAACATACCCCTGGTGAATCTATTTAGAGGCTTCTTGTCTTTGGTCTGCAACTGACAGGAAGACATATTTTGAAAAAGACAGCGAAAACTAGAGAATAGTGAGTAATCAAATAAACTGACTGAAGTGAAGTTCAACTCAGTAAGGATAAAGATACTAATCCTAGCAATAAAGTTACATTTACAAACATTTCCTTCCCGTCACCCCACTGTGTGGTCCTCTTGTCCTCTATATTTCTACTCGTTACTGTACGTTCTTTTTTCTTTCTAATCTTTAGTTAATCCTTATCATTTTTTGTGATTATGGATGCTGCACTATGTACTACTGATCTGAGTTTTTACAAATATCCTTCCCATTGTGACCACAGAGTTTTAAAACCGTTTCCTGAAAGTTGGAATATACTGCCAGGTGACATAAATTTGATGGTTTTATCTCTAAAAATTAGTCGACTGCAAAAGTAAGCAGTAGGATGGAGAACAGGAGAAAGTGGTTTCACACCCTACTTCGCTCAATTTTCGGTAATGTATAAACATGGGTTGATTTTATCTTCAATCCTATGTACCGCTAGCTTACACTGACATGTACTGGTCATAATTTTCCATTTTGACATAACGGAGCATACAGAACTTCATATAATTTTTTCGTGTTTCCAAACGACTTCTGAAGTTTATATATAAGACCGATAGCAAACCAAGAAATCTTAAGCTGTTCGACATACTTGAACAAACCCGTTTCATGATAACCGAAGAACCCTGGAATATGTTATATAGGCTAAGCTTGGTTTATACCTGGTAGTAAAATGATGAACACCATGCAACAAGGCATTAGTGATTCTCGCTGGTTCGAAAATTGTTAGCAGTAAGTACAGATTATCCGGTAGTGAACAGACCTAAAGATTACATTGTGATGGACGCTTCACCATTTAGCCATTGGGATGGAATTAACTAGTTTAAAGATATTCAAACGTCTCTTATTCTGTTCACTTCTTTGGTCAAAAAACAATGTATAGCCTGTGATCGTCGACTTAATACTGTCGTGAACGAATGAAATACAATAATAGATGGCATGAATGTTAGCAAACTATCTGAGTTAATCTTTCACTTTTCGAGGCTGAATTGGACTGAATTATGCACCTATCATTTATTTCGCTCTTCCTTTGCAGCTGAATCCATCATCTTTGTATTCTCACTGGGTGTGGTATACATATTTGGATTTTCAGAAAAACGTATTCAAGTAACGTACTGATAGTATGAATCCTAAAGGAAATCATGTTACCAGCTAGTGTTTCAGTTACTGTGGTCTGGGGGATGAAACCTCTAAGTACGTTTCGAGCGCTTCGTTCATTACCATATTGCGGAAATGGGTGCATGGTCAGGAATCTAAAATGATCAAAAGCTGACAATCAACTGAAATATCCTCATAGATTACTTGGAAATGTATCAGCTGTTTTTATGTAATTTCCTCAAATGATACCGCAGTAAATGTAATATTGACCATTTAGGAGTACATTAGTGAAGTAAACATGCCCTGACGAGTTCTTCCAGAGAAATCTCATGTGAAATTGCAACAAAAATGATGATTCTGTCGTCTCAATAACTCCTTTTTCAGACATTCTGCCTCAGTGTACCTCGCTATAAGCTGTCGTCTACAATATTTCTAGTCACGAGGAGCACTATCCCATAACACTTAATAACGATCAAAGTATTTCGACCGGCCTACGTAAAATCATTAATGGTTTAAAACTGTGGAAAACTTCCTTCCAGATTTGAATATCTAAAGCAAATATAGGTTGGACTCCCGAGAAAGAAGTTAGGCTGTATTGTTTCATATCTCAGATAAGGTGAGCAAAGGCAGTGTACTTTCCCAGTTGTGTCCAAGTATTCAGTTTACGCCTAACACCCGGAGCCTTCAATCATCACAGACCCTATCCAAACAAAACAATACAATTAAAAGGGTTTTCCCTTTTCTCGTTTATTATGAAGAGTAAACAGCCTATTTGGTTTAACTGAAACAACGAAAATTTATCCCCACTGGGATTTTCAGGCAAAATAGTTGTCTTAAAAACAAACCAGGAAAGAAATGCAAAATAGAAGAGGGAATCGCTTTTGAAAGGAGGAGGCAAAAATCGCACAATTTGTTGTAAAGATGGAAACAACAGATTGTTGTAAGATGATGATGGCAAAAGCGTAAACACATGCCAGCGCTCCCACACACGCATGCAAATACGATCAGATGATGAACGAAGGTGAGCTGGATGAAGATTGACAAATCTACGGTTTAATAAGAAGGAGGGTTGGGCGTTTAGAACTAGATGTGTGACCAAGAAAACTGTTTTCCGATGGCTGAAAACTTTATTTCCCGAACAAGAATCTATTCATTTACCATTTCAGCCTTAATGAATACTTCACAGTATGCTTTTATCTTTATTATAACTGCTTTGCAGGCCGTAAAAACCTTGTGTAACTTGCCTTTCCTATATCTGAATGTTTGTGTATATGGTTACTTCGTGAAACTATCAATATACAGTTGGGGAGTTTGTGGGTTTAATCTGCGTCATCATCATCGCTTCATGAGAATGAGCCGTCATACAGCAACGCTTTTACGGATAAACATATGAAACTCCTAACTTCGTATCTGAAGACCAACTTGTACGAACTTTGAAGGAATAACAAGTCTGTCAAACTGTGAATAACTTTTAGTGCTATGAGCGACAGGTACTGTACTTGGTCACCGGAGATTAAATAGTCTCATATTATCCTTAGTGCTGATCAAATTCTGTCGATCATTTTCGAAATGTGGTCATTAGGCTAGAGGATTCAGCATCATGGTGCACTTCGATTGATATGAAATGCTTGGAGGCGAACCTTCTTTAACAAGTAGATAGTATGAAGAATATTTAAATGACTGGTAATCCATAGTAGCAGTAAAGTCAGCTGGTAATTTGTGGTGCCTGGGCAGTTTTGTCCACGAATACTATCGACAGAAGTGGTCTAGTTGTCTAGTTTTATTTCTGCCAGACTGTCAAGTAATTAATTGACTTGAACTACGATCATGCTAGGACATTTCCGTTTTTTGTTACTGGCATAGTTCCATTGGAAAGGTAAGTGAATAAATAAATTATAATGAAGTGAAATTCATTATGATAATTTACTTGACTATAGCTAACAGAAGAATCCAGGACGCTAGTTTCGTCCTATTTAGGACCAAGTAAATTATCATAGTAAATATTCAGGCAATATCGAGGCATCCACATAGGAGCCCATATACCAATAGAGGTTGGACAATTTGATCTAGTAAAACAAGTATATACAAACGGTAAGAAGTGAAATTCACTGTAAATTTGATAATTTCCTAAATAATATTCAAATAACGAGCATGTTTGTTGTCATCTCTTCATACTGAACATAAAATTCAGAGTAGAATTTAACAATGTACTGAATTGTTTATCATTATGTTTTTTCTATTCCTAAATTAAAGGTAAACCAATTCAGTGTTGGGTACCACAAGAGTTCACAAAGTCCTGGGAAGAATATGCTGAGAATTTATGTTGGGTTTCGAACACGTACTTCTTGCTACCTAATGAAGAAATACCAACTGATCAAGTGGATTATGAAAAGGTCAAATTTATTGGCTACTATCAATGGGTGGCAATAGTTTTAGCCGGTCAAGCTATGATGGCATGGGTACCACACTTACTTTGGCGTGTTGGTTCAAGGCGTTTACCTCTTTTATTGAAATCAGCCAAGGAAGCTGCTATACCTGACCGTGAATTACGACTTAAAGCCGTTTCATGCTTAGTGGCAACATTAGAAGAACAAGCTGAATCACAATCAAGATTTAGACGAATAAAATCTATTGTCAATAGATGTCTTTGCGGCGTTACGCCGAATGCTCGTTTAACTATGCTTTTCTTATTTGTACGAGCATTGTTTGTAGCCAATTCAGTCGGACAAATATACTTAATGAAACGCTTTACCGGTTTTAATAGTACTGTATTTGGGCTGCGATTATTACAAGATTTATCCTCTGGTGTCGAGTGGGAACGAACTGGACATTTTCCCCGTGTCACATACTGTACAATAAAAGTTCGGAAAATGGGGCAAACTAAACCTGCAAGGTAAGTAATATAATTTCCATTATTTTATTTAGATATCATAAACTGATATATCTTCACATAAGACTATATATATACATATATGCTGCAAAGGAATTCCCCAAGGCATAAGACACTTAAATTATTAATAAAATCGATGTCATGCAGATTTTTAGGTGAAGTACTTGTGTGTCTGTGTAGATTCAAAACGTAAACAGAGTGTATGCGTGTGCTTCAAGTATTTCTTCTTTTTTCAAGCCTTACTTATAGTCCACAAAAGGGTTAAATTTCTCATTTTATTATTATGATGCTGAAATGGTAATTAGCCGGCGGTGAACAAAATAAATTTACAAATTGTTTTAAGAAAAATTTAATGTAGTGGGAGATGGCGTAAAACCTTTTAATGCAATTACAAATGTAAACAAAGTGTTGATAAGTTATTTAAGTGTGTACCGTTAAAAGGCACTGTATCCTTATTGTAATTATAACAGCTTCCAGTCTAATTGAACGAGTAGGCAGTAAATTGATAGTCATCGCACGAACTACTTAGATTATTTATAAAATCAACTATCCTCTGTAAAAATGAGAACACAGAAAGGTAAGTGATAAATTAAAATGAATTCAAAATTATTGTACCGAAGTCAAGTATAAATCATGTGCATGAATTTTAACTAACCAATAGTTTTTTCAGAGTTTACCTCAAACATGACAAAAAAACAATTTTTGTATCTTTATTAAATTCACTGTTGGAGAAACTGAAGTGTAATAATTGCTTCAATTTTAAAATGGACCAAAGAGGTTTTGAAAAGAGGAGACATCGAGCATTTGTTATCTGGTTTGCAGAACATAAACTCAAATTATCTGAGGTTCAAGCTTATAACGTTCCAATTATGTAATTTCCTATGCTTTTTGAACTGATATGGCTTGTCTTGATGAACTGTGTAAATAGTGAAAAGTAGTAATTAAAGTTCACTGTGATGTTTTGTTAAAATATTAGTTCAGTTGAATGTTAACTGATACAAATGAGATTGAACGTGCTGATACATTAGTGTAAGTCAGAGGCTTTTCATAAGAGGAACATTTGATATATCTGATCTATAAGAATCTTATCACGAAAGTGAAGCTGGTTCGAAAGTTTTTTAAGTTTAAACGGTGAAACAATAATCTGCTGACGAACTGCATAACTTTCCAGCATTCTACAATGATTTACTGACTATTATACGAAGAGAGTACAAGTCAGCTACCTGATTAAAATCTTAGTTGCTTTGAAAAAGAAAAGGAATCTGCTTCAAGGTCATTGAGAGAGTAATAAGTTCGCAAACCTAACGAAGTAGAACAGCTGGAGGGGAGTGGATCAAGGAATAAGTTATTCAGAAAAATTTCACCTAAAATTTAAGAGATTATTGTCTTTTACAAACATATTGAAAAATGAAAATAAATTAGCCAAAAGAGATTTTTTTTGTAGTTTAATGAAAAAAACGATTTTCCTTTATTTACCAGTCATTGACTAAAAGAATTCTTAAAGTGCAATGAGCCTATAAATTTTGACTAACCACAGATAAGCAATCAAGCTTGCAAACTCACAAGCAAACATTCGGACGAACAACTGATAATGAAGATTATTTTATCTGAAAGAAACAGATCTGCTTCTGTCATGACCTTGATAGTATAACGTTGCGAGATTAAGGGTTTGATCCTATCTAACAGTAAGTGTTTTGAAATTTGTACTTTTCTCATTGAGCTATCAGGGTCAGTCAAGGTCGTTGTTTTTTCGGAAAAATTGGAGAAATTTAACAGTGAATTTCATATGGTATCACAAGGGAACACTTGAAATATTTGATCGACTAACTCTCGGACAGGGAAGGAAAAATAATTACTCTGAATGGTAGCAAGTTTATTGTGTCAAGTAAGACTGGATTAAAGAATAGCACATATGATGATTGAAACAGTCTGTTTTAAGTATCCAAATCTGCTATTATTTTACTCCACCATCGATAAACTTTAGTCTTACACATACACTTGATTTGATGACTGTTCTGTTGCGGTCATTGACCTCTTGGGGACCATCTCTCCGAAGAATAGGCGAGAATGTAGAAAGCTTGTGGTAGACTTGTAGTTTTGAAGCAATGTACAAAAGATCCAGTAGTCCGTCTCTTAGTTCCCAATGACTCCACAAATGATATCGTTTTATGTTTAGAACGTTTCTTCTAGTTGAGCATGTTATCTTGAGACCTGTGACAGACGGCACTATCTCCAAACTTTAAAATTCTGATGAAAGAGATGAATCATTTGATGAAGTTGTGAGCTTCCATCGGCTTAGATCGCAGGGACACTTGTTACATATCCCACCATCTATGTTGAGGTATAGTGTTATCTGAAGTAGGTTTAGTCTGGAAAATGGCTTAGAGATGGTATGGAGAAAACATGACATTAGCCAGTCAGTTCACTGACTGTTGGTTTGAGTTGTGTAGGGAAATCCGGACTTCACTGTTGAGGTCCTTGTGATAATCAAAATGAGCGCCTAGAGAATCTAAGCGATATGACCCATTATCGACCGCAGTGGTATATATGGGTCCATACGTTCTCTTCACCTTGATTATTGTGCCAAATTATTTTGTTGTTTTATTTCTTTCTACTGGTTCTTACTACTTTCAACCACTTTGACCACTTTATTTTCTATTTCCTCATCTTCCTTTCGTTGTGGTGTCTTCCATCTTGATATTCTGATGTGAAGTGTAACAACTTTGACCATTACTCTGTAATATCAGATTCTATATTGATTCTAAATGACTGAATAAGTGATCTAGCGTTAAAGTGTAGAATAAAGTTCAGCGGTTATAGATGCAACATGACAGTAAATTCAAGCTATATGATTTCCAAAATCTTGCATCAGCACTTCAGAACTACACATTCACTTATTTTCCTCCGAATACCAAGGTTTTGCATCTGTGCATATAGTTGTTACGGAAACAGTCTCACGCTAAAACCTCTGACTTTGTTGATCAGCAGCGTGGGTTTAGTTTCCATCAAATTTGTACAAACACTGGAGCAAAATAATGCAAAAATAGCAAGGAAATTTTGTATGACATTTGCACACGAATGATCCTCTCCTAAGACTAAGTCCCTAATGGCTGGAGTCACCTATAACTTTGTGTTTAGACTGCTTGTGGTAGCTTGGACCAAACACCAATGAAGAGTAAAGCTAAGATTGCTTGAATTGCTGAAAGTTTCATATCAGTGACCCTCTGCATGATTATCCAGCATCTATTTATTAGCTCGAGCAATCCATGTAGTTAAAATTTTCCTTTTCAAACTGCAAGTGTAAACATTGTTATTTGCCCGATAACTCCTCCTTCCTCCCTACTGATCAACTTGTCATTATGTATCCACTAAGATGCTAGAAAGTGTCTGTCATGTAGCAATCAGGAGTATCACTTGACATTCAGAGCAAAGCCGAATCCTACCTACCTATAAGGTCTTATATTCCGCCCGGTATGGTATGAATTAGATAATTGGAAAAATACGAATAATGTTTTTTTCTTTCAACTTCATCTGCCTTCTCCATATACTGATAATTATATATGCTTAAGCGTTGTTCAAAAACAATCCAAACCACGCTTTTAATGATCACTGAAAGAGAGGAAGTATACTTTTAGGTAAATTTTTATAGGGTTTACTAATTACAACCACCAGACAGCCCGGTGTCCCCCACCTTTCAGCCAACCAACTAAGTTTCTGACTGACAGTAAATCAAATGATTTGTTTTCATTACCTGAAGTAATTAGTATAGTTTATCTATTTATATCTTGCACCAACTAATTAATTGGGCCTACTAATTTACTAGCCGCGACTACTGTGAGTAGCAGTAAAATAGTAGTGGCATTTATGGTGGTTCTGTTGTCAGAAGAGGTTATACCACTTTTCGATCGACATTCTGTCACCCGTCTCGCAGAAAATTCAAGACATTTGTCTTCATGGCAGGAAAGGTTTTATTCCGTTGAATGGTTGTTTGTGCAGTCACAGACTTTATATATATATATATATATATATATATATATATATATATATATATGTCCACTTCACTAAAATTTATGTTGTGCAGTATTTTCTACTTCTCGTAGTTTGCTAATCATCAAAATGTTTATGCAATTTAAATGGGTTTTTTCGGTGCTATTTGAATAGTGAAAGTATTAGCATAACTCTGCTCTTCAAAATGATCATTTCCAATCCTCTTAAACCTATTTTGCTACAGTTTAATTTGTATAATGTAATATGCCTTTCTACACTGTCCATTAAAGTGGCACTTTTAACCGATTTCTTGTTATTTTTATTTCGTTCCAACTGTTTGCCATCTCCGACTACTGTGTTTTTATTTTTTCGGTTCCCCTTTTCTTCCATCGTTCGTCAGTAAATTATCCTCGATTTTACTATGACTCTGCCCTCTTTTAATTATTTCTCATACTACTTGCTCAACTTTTTCAACTTCTTACTTTATTGTCTTCTGTCGATGAAGAACAAGTTTTCACAACAGAGAGAAAACTCCAGCAATAAACGCCATCATCATCAACAGCACTATAGTATCATGTTATTTCCAGTCCATCTTCCCGCCTTCTTCCAATGATATTAGAAGTAATGAGAGTAACACAGAAAGGGGGGAAGCAATAATAGGAATCTATTTTTAGACACTTGTTGTTTTTCACTCAGTTGTTATTTTTATTGCTTGTTTTCATTTACTGTGATTTTGTTGATACTACAATAAACCAACACGTATATATCAAACGAGTGTAGAGGGCGAAGTACAGAGCAGAAATTTGATGCAAGGTGAAAGGATTAAACACTCATTTGTGCATGTGTATCTTTACTTTTCTTCACTTACTTTCTGGACTTTCTTTTGATTTTATCATTCTTAGTCACATAAAAGAAAACCAGGGAGACACTGAATCTTGAGCTGAATACTTACGATATTTTGTTTCGAGAAAACTGAACATTTGCAATAAGCGCCACCTAAATGATGAATTCATCTGAGAATATGAAGTATATTGAAGTGTACAACGGACTGACAAAATGATAAGCATTCAAAATTGTTGAATTAACATTAATAGAATTACGTGTAGTTTACAAATATCCTCGGA